ATAACGAGAGAAACAGAAGGAAGTCGGAGTGGCCACAGCACGCGGGTTCCAGCTGCAGGAGGGTCCCGAGCAGCCCTGAGAAAGCTGCTCGTCCGGCTCCCACGCTCACCTCACCGCAGAGGAGCAGCTGACCTCTGAAGGGGCCCCGGCACACTGGGGCACACGAAGGGCCACAGGCACCCTGTCATAGGGGAAGCCACGTGCAAAGCCCAGAGAACAGGACGGGCAGGGGTTTGGGCTCAGAGAGCTGGCAGCAAACCCTAACCCATCATTCACACAGGCGAACCCCACCTCCTGGTCCGTAAAAACAGATCACATGAGGAGGGATGGAGATATCTGGCCAGTCAGTAAATTGCGGTAACTACTATTGATAAAAAGGAGTACATACATAAATGATATGTGAAAACACCAAACCGTAAAGAGGTATGCACTTCCTTACAAACAGTGAAAATCCAGCACATTTATCCTCGGGCCAGCCCGCCCTGTCCTTCTATCAGAACCACTCCACAGTCCCCAGCAAGGAGGGCCCGCCCTGCTCCTGTCTGCTGGAGGATTTGTCCTGTTTAAAGAAGTTGAATTCTCGAAGTCACATTTCTTCCTTGATGGGGACCCTCTGGGCTTTCCCTGAGAAGACCAGATATCTCCTTCAGGCATGACTGAAGGGTAAGTGCCTCGGTAAATAAGATCACCCCTCACCCCACCATCACCTGGTCAGCATGCTCACGGACACCTAGGATTATGCATTAATCCCGTAAAGAGCCAAATGGAGACCCAGGTTAGCAGGGTTCAAGGGCAAACACTGTGTGCGTGTGAGGACACAGGTGTGAAGAGCATCCAAGATTCGTCTGTGCTTCCCATACACGTAAAAGGTCAGGCCAGGCTGCGAAGAACAGCGGAGAAGTGATTTGAAGAGTCGTGTTCTACCCTCAGAAAGCTCATACGATTCTTAAATTTTCACAGCCCCAGCAATTTTCTTCTCACCGCCCTCCTCCCTGCCTTCCAGCTGTGCTCAGTGTGTACATCCATTCAGTCCTATGTGTCAGGGGCTAGCTCAGAGCTCAGACCAGAGGTGCAGACAGTGGGCCCCGGCTCTGCCCTCAGGGTGCTCGGCAGGTGGGGTGGTCCATACAGAGGGCAGCGTGAGGATGCAAAGGCCCAGGAAATGGCGGCCGAGGCCAGGGAAGCGGGTGGGGCCAGGTGGTGGGTATCTGCTACCTGAGGAGCTTCTTGCATTTGGCCAGGCCTGGGCAGAAGGGTGGTGAGGGATGGGAAGTAGGAGAACTATAGTAGGACGCTCCAGTGTTCTTCAGGAATTCTTCCAGCTCCAGGGCTCCCGGCCCTACAGAGCCAGCCCCGCCTGCCTCTCTCCTGCACAGCAAGCCAGTGATGTGAGTTGGCCACCGCAGACCAGGCTTGCATGCACCTCAAAACAAGTGGGCGGGCTTCCCTGTCAGCAAGTATTAACTGAGTCACATCCACGGGACGCCACGTTAGTTTACAGACACATGGAAATGAGAGTATTTAAAAGAAACCCGCGGTGAGTTTTTCTTGACAACTCAATCTCCTGTGGAGGGCAGCTTTTCCTACACAGAGGCCTGAAAGCAGAGTGCTGTTTGGCCCTGGTGTGCACACGACCTTCCCCCCCTTTACCCCACGAAGGCGGAGTCCGGGTTCGCGTGGGCACATTCTCAACCTTAGAGAGCAGCACACACAAACCTCAGTTCGACCCTCTGGCGAGGAACTTCATTGGTCTGGGCCACAATTTTTAAAAACTCTAAAAAGAGGATTTAAAAATGCAGACTGCCCTGGCTGGGTAGCTTAGGACATCGTTCTGAAAGCCCAAGAGTGCAGGTCTGATCCCAGCCAAGGCACATACAAGAATCAACCAACGACTGCACACACAAGCGGAACAGCTCACCAATGTCTCTCTCGCGCTTAAACCAATGAAAGCCCTGCTGTCACTGTCCCTTGGGTGAAGAGAGTATACGAGTGACCGCCCCTAGGAAACCCGTGAAGGTACCAGCAGGCCTTGCTGAAGGGACACAGCGGCCAGCCGGAGCTGGGGCTGCCAGAGCGCAGAGCTGTCCAGAGGATGCCTCCTGCCTGGCTGCTGCCCACGTCGAGTGGGTCTGCCCACTCCAATAATCCCTCTAACACGCTACCCTGTGACCATGTCGACGCCCTTCAATCAGCATGGCGGGCCAGTGAGGCCTGGGTTGGCTGGTCCTTCAGGCTGAACTTCCCACTGTGCCCTGGTAATGCCGAGCTGAGGGCCCGCCCTGCACAGGCCCGGCTGGCCAAACCTCAGTGCCCACATCTAGTCCCTGTGCATTCCCTGAACGTGGATCATGCCTGCCCTTCACCTGGCTAGGCCTAGCCACCCCTACACTCACTCGCTTTAGCAGAACTGCAGGAAGCTCTGTGTGCACACTGCACGCCGCACCTAGACATCCGCTGGGCGTCTCTGCCGCCTGACTAGCAGCACGCACCTCAGCCACTGTGCTCTCCCGCACACCCAGCACAGGCCATGTCCACTGTACATTAGGGACAGTATAATCGTCTGTCGAATGAACTTTCCCCTCGTGCATGTAGTTGTAAAGTACTCACACTGGCAGTCGCCCCTCGGCATGCCTCGCTGATCTGCATCCACATGCTCCAGCTAAGGAGCGGCCCAGCCATTAAGGAGGAGGCAAGATGCCTACCAATGACCCACGTGAGCCTCAGGAAAGGCCTGCCCCAGAGTGCCCCCTTCCAGGTGACATACTGGAAAGGACGACACAGGTCTGCCCTTCGGCAAAGACTTCCGTTCAGGTGAGCTTCTCCCTACAGTGCTGTCTGAGAGGGCAGCATGTCCTGGGAGAGCTCCATCATGCGGTGCGTGATCGGAGATGAAGTGCTCTTCCTCCTCGGCTCCTGCACACCCCGCGCTGAGCCGGGTAGCTGAGGACCTCACCTTAGGACAAGCACAAGCACCCTGACATGCTAGCCAGAAAGCTATGATCTATCAACTGAGGAAACGGTGGGTCTTACTCTTAAACTTGGAAAAAACAAAAGGATCAGGAGACTCTGAACAATTTCATAGATAAATCCAAGTTAGAAAACAGTGATGTACAGAAACAGATGCTTAAGATCCCAACAGGCGCCCTAGTTGGTGTGGCTCGGTGGATAGAGCATCAGCCTGAAATGAAGGGTCCCTTGTTCGATTCCAGTCAGGGCACACGCCCGGGTTATGGGCTCGATCCCCAGTAGGGAGCATGCAGGAGGCAGCCGATCAATAATTCTCTCATCACTGATGTTTCTCTCTCTCCCTCTCCCTTCCTCTCAAGAATCAATAAAAATATTAAAAAACAAAAAACAAAACCAACAGGAGATGGGAAGCAGCCGTGGGTGGGAAGGCGTAGGCTTTAGGGACCGACTGGGATTCAGGCTCAGCAGTGGCCCTAACAGTCACAACAGGAGCAAACTAACCCTCCCTGGGCGCCTCCCAGGAGTCTCCGGGCACAGAGACAGGAAGCACGGCCAGGTGCACATGAGACCTGCCGCAGGCTCCTCCTCCCCGCCAGGCTCTGTGCTCACTGTCATCAGGTGCGGTGAGCTGCTGCGGACACGGAAGGCTTCGGATCTACGGAACTCACACCCGAACCAAGGAGACCTCCCTTCTACAAACTCCACAGCACGAAGCAGCTAATCCCATGCACCTAACACAGGGAGGTTTCTAGAATTCCCGAAAGCAGAATGCAGACGCTGCTTCTCCAGGTGGGCGTGGCGGCACTCCCTCGCGCGCTGTGGTCGGACCCCAGGACAGTTCTTCCTGCCAAGGCAGGTCGGTGCTCCTGGCTTCGCCGTACATGCCAACCCCGGGTTTTGGCAGGCTGCTTGAGTCAGGGTGAACTTTAGGTTCTGCCCTGAGTTCTATGTAACATAAGAAGCAAAGATTAGCAATGTAAGCACATGGAGAGCAAAAGGAAACATGAGCGACAGAAGGAAGGGAGGGCGGACAGGTTAGTAGATTAGATGTCAGGAGGAGGCAAGGATTTAGAAAGGGGGGTGGGCGTATGCACGAGAGACAGCAGATTAAAGAGACTTTTGGATCATAATCCACTTTGAAGCTGTCACAATTATTCCAATTCTGGTGATTCTGCTAGTCTGGTTAGAAACATAGAAATCCTTCCTTTCAAAGTTAGTGAAATAATATTGTCTAGCAAGGAAAAGCATAATTTCCTTATCTAACTTTTTTAAAAAATGAGATCATTACTCAGAATACTAGAGAATGTTTGCTTAAAGATAAGGTTTCTTTTGGAGCAAAGAACTTGTCAAAATTTGAATTGCATGTTTTAATAAGTTTGATCTGGCCCTGTCACCGACACATCAGAATAACAGGCTCAATAAAAACAAACAAATAAATAGACAGATAGATAGATAGATAGATAGCAAACACCCAGAATCAAAGTGCTC